TCCATCGAAGTTTACACACACACAGCAGCGCAATCGCCACCATGAGCAGGCCGGCGAGCCGTCGTTCAGACGAACAACACCCAAGCCACCACACATTTCCCCGGACACCAAGCGCATCCGAGCATTTTGACACGAGTATGATACGGATCTGACACTACGAGCCACCCACAAACGACTGCTCCTGGATGACGATGCCTGCCCAGATCTCTCACTCATCAAGACACGGCTCCGTGACCTCCAGAACCGTGTGGACAAATTACATTAGACGGAGATTTATGACCGGACCAGAGGACAGGGCCTAAGAGGATTTAATTGGGGGCCGGACCAGAGCACCGGACCGAATAGTAGAATATATAATTTAGTGTGAGAGAATGATGACTCATTGGACGTCATCATTATTTAGTAACTAGGAGACCATAACTTTAGATACGGAGATTTTCACAATCTGCCGTTGTTAGAGAAAATCTCGTCCCATATAGGAACGTGATTAATAAATACAGCAGACGCGCCGTTTACAACGGCACTTCTGACTGAATTCACTTATTTCAGACTTAACACCCTTTACTAAGCGCTACTCGGTTTTGACTACATTTTTAAATGACCGAACTACTGTATTTATAATACTACGTTCTTTAAAGGCTAAATCAACTAATAAACAACTTAGGTTATTATATTTTATTACCACAATGACTGGACCAAATACTAAACCGTTACCTAAGGTGGGTAACCAAGCTTGTGACCGGCTGCTGAAACGGTTGCTTGGAGCTCTTCGCCGTTTGCCCTAAGATATGCGCTAAGGTGGAGACAGCACTTGCTAAGAAACACGCACCCGAAGGCGAAACGAGGGTAGAAATTGAGGACCGGACCAGAGGACCGGACCAAATAGTAGAATATATAATTAGCGAGAGAGAAAGATGACTCATCGGATGACATCATTATTTAGTAACTATGTAGAGAGACCACAATTTTAGATCCGGAGATTTTCACAAAACTACTACGATGGGGACCGTCATTGTGACCACACCTGAACATTTGGATAGTGGACACCCATACCGGACACAGCCACTGCCATGGCCCCTTATGCCACCCTTTTTACTCTCCTGGATGCAAGCCTTGACCCTCGACGACGACTATGACCACGAGACCCCAATTCCGGATCCCATCGACACACACACATACAACCGGGACGCCCTGCCTAGTTTGGGGACCGAGTTCCCTACGAGAACACAACCAGTTCCTTCTTCACATGAAGCCCTGCTGAATGTAGCAATTGATGAATACAACTACAATGAAACAGGGCTCAACAGGGAGGTATAGATAGGTTCCAGGAGGTACCACTGAGCACAGGGGACAAAGTCCAATACCACCAGACTACTACCCTCTAGACCACGAGGATACCATGGCCCACAGTAACACTGAGGACCACATTAATCTACAGTTTTTTAATGGCCTACGCGGTGTTCCAAGTACCGCACACTGATGCGTTTATATACAATCGACGCACCAATAACACCTCCGTCCTCCAACAACTCGAACAACTTCAGCTCACCTATATGGACCAACCCTTCGGCCCAGAGGAGATCCTAGAGATCATCTGGATCTGGCATGACAGATTCAGCCATCTGCTCCCTGACCGCATCCAAGAATGTGCTGGACCATACCCACTGCCGTTCTGCGAACAATCTTAAACACGTGCAGTGACTGCATCCGTGTCGGCCTACCCACGGGCTACACGCATGGCCCTCTCCAACAGCCAAACCGCCCCACAACGATGTCTAAAGAAGCTAATCTCGACTTCATGTCTATCTCACCTGATGCAGAGGGTTACTGTTATGTCCTACTCGCCTAAGCCGGTTGCAGGTTACGCGTCTTTAGCGAGCCACTCAAATCCGCAGACATGCTAGCATCGGTCTTAATTTGGTTCTGTAACACACCTAGTCCCCTGCGGCCACGCTAAGACCTACGTTGTCGATGAGGGTAGCACCTTGATTAGCGAGGAATTCGTCAACTACGCGGCCAGTACCAACAGCCGCATCCACCCTGTGTCTACCGGCGAACACGGTGGAAACGGCCGTATCGAACGCCTTGTCCGAACTACTCGCAATGCCCTGCAACGATCTATTGCCCCAGGTGCACACCATCTCTGGCGCCAGGAGCACCCACGATTCCTGGCGAATTATAACGCTACGTACTCCTCTACTATCCAGAACTGTCCTTATACACTGGTGACCGGTCGAGTCTATTCGAATCGGATCCTGGACGCAGCTCTCGGATATCCACAGCCAACAGTCTTCCTTATGTCAGGAAGCAATCCCTCACGATCTGGACGCGGCTCGAGCTGTATACAAGGCCCGAGCATCGCAGAAATCGTATTCTGATAAGCATTGGTTCAATGCCCCAACGATCGAAATTGGTCGCGAAGCTTTCTATATACCGATGCAACTCCCCAACCACAAACAGCGAAAGATTGGTTGGGCCCCGCAACTGTTCTAGCACACATAGCGCCAGTGATGCACTATATCCTCGACAAGACGCGCAACAAGGAATTTCAAGTCCACATCAAGAATATTAAGGCTTACCTTGATCGGCCGCCCTGAACTCAGACCTATGGGCGCGATTGCTGCCTCGTCGTTCGGCAGTTGGCTGTTCTTCAGTTCACCTTTAGCTGAGGAACCGGACAACACCCACCTTGATAAATTGGTGACGCTGTTTCGTACGAGCGTTCCAGCCATTCAATTCTTGCATGAGTGCTCCACAAATTTTACCGAGTGGAACGACCTCCTACGTGCTACCGGCCGGCAACGCGGTGACGATTTCACTGCTGATGATCAGGCCCACTTCCATGCCCATACAGATTTGGTCACTAGCCCGACCGCCACGCTGTCTATATAGTCTACACTACGCAAAGCATACCGCTTTGCACACAGTCGACCGGAACGCGACTGAAAGATAGACAGCCTCATGGTATGACAAGCAGCTAGCCACGCGCTCAACTATCACTGCCCAATAGGATACCTATTGTTCATATCCGATTTTAACACACAAATATATATATATATATATATATACGACTGTGTCTCTGTGTTTTGTTCAGTGGTTTCTTATTTCCCAAGTTCAATTTATTATTTCAAGTTGTCATCAATATTTTGGTTGCTAACGTAGTGTCCGACACGCTTCCGACAGGATCGGATTGTCCTACAATTGGCCATCGGATTCGCCAATACGACCTTCTATTGCTCCTTTTCTTTTATGGGACACGTCCCCTACGAGCCCGTCTGGAGGGGTTGTAGTAGCGGCGGTCACAGTAGAACCAGTCCTGTAGTCTGGACGGTCACTAACACCAAGGGGCTTAGGACACCGACCCCACATGTGACTCTAGAACGAGACGGACCAGAAGTCGGAACTACCAAGCTGAGCCAAGGGTCCACCTTTTTTGTAAACTAGTTCTAGCTAGGCTAAATCAACTAGCTTAGTTCCTTCCATAGTAAACAGAGTGTACCATAGGTATACTACATACATAAATATGTACATAAGTATATATTTTCGAAATATACAATACAACAGTATATACTGTATGTACTTTTTTCTTCTTCTTCGGTTTTCTCATAAAATACACGAGTAGAAACCCTAATCTTAAAATCACAATACATCTATATATAGCAAACTCAGGGTATTTAACTATATACTACATATCGTGAAAATATGCTAAGTAGTTGGTTTTAGCCTTGCTATAGGAATAGTACAAAAGGATGAACCCGAATTCGACATCCGACTTGGCAGTCTTATTAGTTTTTAACCGAGTTCTGTCGTCACTGAGTAATATGCGGGCGCCTAGCCTCAGAGCTGTCCCCAGAGTCCAGATTTAGGGCTGGTCTGTCGTAGGACCGAACTGCCCCGTTCCCTGATTTCTACTCCCCGCAGACGCGGGCACGTAGGGTACGCGTCTCAAAAGAAAAAAAAGGAGCGGTGTAGCGACACCGGTGTTGTAATTTCAAAGCGTCGGAAATTGGGCGAGGCAAAACGGAGGCACTTCTTGAAAGGCGGGCATGGAATCGTTCAGTGTGTATACGTTATAGTCAAGGCTCTGTTCGCTGTTATACTATGCATTTAGAAGTGCATCAAACGAAGACGTTCCTAGCTGTGTGCGGACTGGAAGCTCCTATGTGCCGGCGTTGGCCTGGTAATTCTGGGCAAGGAAATAGAGTTGCCGACGCATGGAAGTTGAGCAATCGTCCGTATATGCGAAGGACTCCAGAGATTGTTATTCCATTGGTTGCTCGTCCAGCGGGGGTTATTCCATGGGATGTACTGGCTGTTGCAGGGCATTCCGGATTGTGCAGGACTCTGCGGAACACCATCGTCGATAGGTTCTAGTGCTTGCATTCGTGGGGATGGGGATGGCTCGACACACCAGAACGGTTTCACTCGATAGAGATAGATAGCGCTGCCACGTCTGATCCGTCCAACAGATGGGAGTATACTGGCATGTACTGAGCTATTGTATCCTCCTTCGCTTCATGAGAGGTGTGGGTTGGGTCAGGGTGTTTTTCAAAAAGGACATGTGAGCATGGGTGTTGTGAGAACCATTGGTTCAGTGGCAGCCTGGCTTCTGAGGCCTGGGTCGTGTGAACGCCGTAGCGATGTCTAAGACGCGACCGCGGACAAGAGAAGGCCGTGATTGATGTCAGTCCATAGCAAGTTCCTCCAGCATTATTTATGCTGTATCTGTACCATGTACATATCCAGAGCCATCCTTAATGCAATAGCCAGTGAGAGTAGAATTCTCACGACTGGCAAATAATTTCAAGTCGAACGAACCCCACACCTGTTGGGAAACATTGACACAAATGTCATTGATTGCGCCCGCCCAACCAGTATGGTCCAGGAGTACTTGATCAAGAGGGCCTGTTGGTGCCTGCCACTGAACTAGATCCTGTTGCAATTTTGCAAAGCCGACAACCGGCGTCGTAGAGAGTTCCGTCGGCTTTAGAGTCGAAGCTGTCACTCTGCTGGGACATTTACAGCAGTTTGCCAGTCTCATCGAGGCGTGAGAGGTAGTCGCCAAAGACCGCCAGTGGCCCGTTAATATATCTTATATCGATGCTGCGGAGCCAGCACCTATGCTTGTCAGAGTGTGAGTATGGGTACGGGCTATGGCCACCCATGATATTTCATGAGTGACTTATGGCCCGCTAAAGAATCATAGGTTCGTATGGGTGGTGGGCTACGTCTGCCACTTTGCGGATGAGGATACGGCATTCAAGCATTTCGCGGCTGATGGCATCATATTTATTTTGGGCCTCGTTCAGCTTACCCGAAAGGAAGACTAAAGGATACATATATTTGTAGGCGGCAATTGTGATGTCGATGTCACGTGGTTGGTCCGAAAACTCTATCATGTTGGGTAGGGGCTCCCCTGATCGGAATATATTTCTAGAAGTTCGAAAGTCATAGGATGTGTGAGTAGGGCCGTCGTCAAGAGACAAGCCTAAAGACTATCCAACTTAGTTTCTGTGGCAGAAACTACAGTCTGTTGCATCGGCAGCATGGGGCCCACAGTAGCTCCTATCTTTTTCGATAACAATCGAGGGTCTGTGGGAGAAGCTGTAGATCGATGTGTACTGTCTGTACGAGCTCCGTCTTGGTCTGGGAGGTACCTCCATGCTGAAGAGCCGGAACAATTGTCACAATAGCACCTTGTGCAGCCAGGATCTCCTCAGTGGCTGTAACTTAGGCGCAGGTGCGCTATGTGTGGTCGTCGTATGTGTGTCCGGTGCTGGGTTGAGCAAGTCGACAGGTGCCGAGAGTGGAACCGATTGCCCTTTAACGATAACATTGCTGTAACAAGGGATGAATTTATTATTATATTCTAGTGCAAGTAAAGCGAAACATGGTACCTGGGGGTGGGCTGATACATGCTCGTTTATACATCATTGCAGAAATGTTACGAATATTTTCACGGCCGAAAATAATAATAGCACAGTCTATGATGGCCCCCCATTGACACTCGCAGTCTGGATATCATTATCTATGCAGATGCGGACATGATATCATTTCAATGATCGTTCGAAGCTTCAAGTATCGTATGGATGGCCTTCAGTTATGGGGCGATATTGCCGTCGTCCAGGTATACTTTAAAGGCCTCAATAAGGCGACCAAAGGAAATAATAGACCTCTTCTCAAGTGCAAATTTCTCAGCTAGGTAAAAGTCCTAGGCTGAGGGACTGGCATTGAGTCCTTATTTGTGTTTTTTGTTTTCTACACTAGACTCAATTATTACTTAGGTGTTTCTCTCACACGCGGGAGTCCGGGTATCATCTACCGGTAATCCTGCTATATTTCTGATCACTGTATCATCAGAAATATTGGATCCTAGATCCATAACTCAGTATTTGATATCCTGGGTTTTGGGTTTTGGATTGGCTTTTCTGATAATCTGGTCCCCGAATGCTACATGAGGTAGCCCCTGGAAACCAGATGTAAAAGAGATCGGCTGCCGATTGACTTATGTAAGTTCGACTCCCTCCCTAAGGCAACTCGGCCGATGGAAGCGTCGTTTTGCAGTTGTGAATGTGAGGTAGCCCCTGGAAATCGTATATAAAAGAGATCGGCTGCCGATTAAATTATTGAATTGCGGGAGTATCCCGCCATAGAAAGCTGAAAAGGGAAGCGGTGTAACCATATTTTGGTAGGTACATAGTTTTTAGTCATCCTATAGTGTTTTACACGTGTGGGTGTCATTTTGGGATCCTTCTGTACTGTCCGTGCCAAACTAACCCGTCGACTATAATTGTTTCCTTATTCGGCGTTGCAGTCTTCATAGCACTGGTACATCTTGGCGGTCTCTACCGCTTGTAAAACGGGGTCCTGTCGTACTGGTTAAGCCCCCTCCTTGAGCCGCAGCGTCATAAAGAAAGGATATTCTACAGTGCTTGTAACTTGCTGGGGCTCTTGTTGGGGATTTTGGCTAGACGTCCCAAGTATCAGAAGTCGTATTCATCCGTTGGCTTAGAATCATTCTATACTGTTAGTACCGAACCAACCCATTGGCTTAGAATCATTATATACTATTAGTACCGAAACAACCCATTGGCTATACTGTTTAATTGTTTTGTTTTTTTTTCGGCTTTCCCGTCTTTGTTTCTGTGGTCCAACTTGGCGGTATCTACCGCTTATATTACGGGTACCTATGTGCGATAAATTTGACGTGCTGATTGTTTCCCTCCTTGAGACGCAACTGTATCAAGACATCATTGATATAACGCGGGCGCTACTGCTTGTAGAACGGGTACTCGTGTGGGACATATTTGGCGTACTGGTCGAGCCCTCTCCTTGAGACGCAGCTGTACCGAGATATCGTTGACACAACGTGGGCGTC